CGGGTGTGCCTCCTGACTGTAGGCGAGCAGTCCAGGAGGCTGCTCTTGCCAATGCCGAAGGGAGGCAGGGGCTGCAGCTGCAGCTCCTGCTCGAGCTGGCGTGGGGAACAGGGTATTTCTGGGCTGTTCCCGAAACCCTGTTTCCGTGCCTGAGTCTTAGGTAGGTCGAACACAATGAGGGCCTGAAAATGGCCCTCCGTTCCAGGCTAAAGAGCCTCTGGGCCTGAAGGGCCCAGAAAGAGGCTGAAACGGAATAGGGCCTGCAGGCCCTCGTATTTCAGCTTTCAGGCTGAAACGACCGGGGCGTGTAAGCCCTAAGTTTTAGGATTTTAGGCTGAAAGTGCGGGACGGGCCCTGCAGGGCCCGTGTGGCTACGCAGTATGCCACCCCCCCCCCTCCTTGAAAGACCGAGCTTACCTGCGAGGGCAAAGCTGTCTGTCTGAGGGAGGGACCACAGTCCGGGTGGGAGGGGCAGGGCGTGGAGGTCCCTTGGCTAACCTTTGATGCTCGTAGTGAGCGTAGATCAGCGGTGCGGATGCTTTCAAATCTGCTCCTGAAATCCACCGAGTGTCGTCGGGATCGCATGCTCTGAATGTAACTTTGTACTGTCGTGGCTTGCTGCCGTACTTGCGATTCGAGATGACGTGGTCAACCTCCTGATGACCATCCATAGATGGAGGGTCCTGCGATCGTCGGTCCGGGAAGTCGTCGCTCTTAGCTGGTGTATACGTTGCCAGCTTCGACGCGTGAAAGACTGGATGGACCGTCAGATGCTCGAGCCCAGACCATGGTCCAAACCACTTGGGAAGCATCCTGTTCCAGTGCAAACTCTTCCGCGGAGACCCAAACCAGATCACCGGCGCATATGGGACATGGCACGCGACGCCTGTTGGCTTGCTGCTGCATGCGGACTTTAGCCTTTTGCATGTTCGCACGGGCTTGAGTCAGCAATTCCCTATACTTCCGGATGGAAGCGGGAGAGCAAGCGGCGTCAATGTCGGCTGGTCGAGGGAGGAGAAGGTAGGCGAAGATACGGCCTTTCCGTCCACCGTGGTGCAACTCGAATGGAGTCATGCCGATCACCGTGTGCACCGAAGTGTTGTAGGCGAACTCGATGTCGGGGAGGCGGTCAACCCAATCTTTCTGGTCCGGACGGATGAGCGTACGAAGCATCATTTGAGCGGTTTGATGTGCCCGCTCCGTTTGCCCGTCCGTCTGTGGANCGTTTGCCCGTCCGTCTGTGGATGCCGAGCCGAACTTGGTTTCATCTTCGTGCCGGACTCCTACATGAGTGCAGTCCAAAATGTCGACATGAAGCGAGTGTCGCGGTCACTGACTATGTCTTCCGGTACACCGTGGCCATAAATCCAACCGGTGTGCAGGAGGCGTGCCAGCTCGGGAGCCGTGGAGTAGTACTTGCAAGGAAGAAAMCGCGCGTACTTACTCAATCGGTCCACAACCGTGAGGATGCCGTCGTGCCCGAGCCGGTCGCGAGGGAACGGACCGGTGACGTCCATGGCAATGGAGAGACCGGGTTCCCGTGGGATAGGCATCGGGCGTAACTCGCCATAGGGATTGCGGTTGCGGGGTTTGCTGCGTCGGCAAACTTAGCAAGAGTCGCAATACTGAGTGACATCGGTAATGAGGTCAGGCCATCGGAATCGTTGTCGAAGCCGTGCAATAGTGCGGTTGATTCCGAAATGGCCAGCGAGTCGCGAGTCATGGTACTCCCCGAGAAGGCGAGTCCGAAGACGACGGTCTCGTGGGACACACAATAAGTCCTTGCCTCTCGAGTGGAGGAGCAAGTACTCGTCGGCAATGCGGTAATGGCTGGCCGGCGGGTGATCCGAAGATAGCTGTGCATAGAGCGTGCCGAAGTCCGGATGCTCCTCCAAACTCCGGCTGTCGTAGCCGCTCCAAAACGGTGTGCAGGTGTTCCACATGCTCCTCCAAACTCCGGTTGTACACCAGGATGTCGTCGAGGTAGATAAGTACGTATCGATCCAGCATGTGTCGGAACTCCGTTGTCATAGCTGCTTGAAAAGTGGCCGGGGCATTCGTAAGGCCAAATGGCATAACCGGCCATTCGAAATGCCCATATCGCGTCTTGAACGCAGTCTTGTAGCGATCCTCCTGCCGAATCTCGAGTTGGTGATATCCCGACTTGAGATCGAGCTTGGAGAAGAACTTGGCGCCGCCCAGTCGCTCGAGAAGATCGTCGATGTGTAGGAGAGAGCCTGCGTTTCTGATCGTCTGCGCGTTGAGCTTGCGATAATCGATGCACAACCGCAAATCCTTGTTCTTCTTCCGGACGAAGAGAACAGGAACACCGTATGACGATGAGCTAGGCCGAATCCAACCTTTCTCCAGAAGGTCGTCGAGTTGTGCCCGAAGCACACTTAACTCTTCCTCGCTCATTCGGTAGATGCAACCGCGTGGAGGTACGGCCCCGTCCTCGAGGATGATCTCGTGGCGGATGGGCCGATCCGGTATTACTCCGTGCGGGCCCTCGAACACGTCGCTGTAGGCGTCGAGAAGCTCGGTGATGCGTGGATCCGAAGAAGGGTTCGTCGATGAAGCGTCATGGGGCGGGAGGGCGTGGAGAAAACACACCCCCATCTCCTCGATGTCGTCTCTGATGATGGAAGCTCGCATGCTTGCGGCGGATACCACGTGACAGCTGACTGAAGGGTGAGGAGGAGCTACCGTGCATGGGACATACTCCGTTCCGATCACGAACGTGAACGGTGCGGCGGTAGAAATTCACTGGGTGGTCCTCGCTTCGCAGCCATGACATGCCCAAGATCATGTCGAATTTGGTGTCCAGAATGTCAAAGGACACCGCCTCACTTGCGTGAGGGGCAAAGTACATTGGGACGTCATCAATGCACCGGTCCATTAACTTGTGCGTGTGACCGTCTGCCAATGTGACTTGCGTGGGCTGGGACTTCCTTCGGACTTGTGGGCCAAGGCCGGCGCGTACCATGAAGTCCTGACTCATGTAGTTGCGAGATGCTCCGCAATCGATCAAAGCGCTGCAGGTCGCCTCTCCGATCTGAATGCGTACATATAGCAATGGTGCGTCGATGTCGTCGTACCGCTGCATCTTGAACTCACGGTCGGTCTTCGCAATGTAGGCGTGAAGGTCGACAACCTCTACTCCGGCGTCCATCAACGGAGTCCGTACTGCAGTGTGCAAGTAATCCCACAATTGTGCTTTGAGCACGTTGCAATGCGGTTTCGGCAATCGACCGGACCGGGGCAGGGGCATCCATTGGAAGTCCTCAAAAGTCAACGGGTCGAGCTCTTCAAGTCTTGACCATGACGTTGAATCCCCGGCGGTAGATGGCGGCGAAGCTGCCGAATCGGTTGCCGATGGTGATGAAACCGTGCATGCGGTAGATTGTTGCACGTGGAGCGGTTGGTCCAGCGGTGGGACCAAGTGGACAACATAGTCCTCGTAAGCATATCGAGAACTTACGACATTCGCCTTTTCCCCAGATGTGTAGGAGGCCGCTAGCAAGGCGGCCGAATCTGGCGGAGTGGGGGGTAGAGTCGCCTCACCTCCCGCGAAACTCAGTTTCCCGAGTTAAGACGAGGCCGCACATCCTCCTTGGCCTGATCCTGGCATAGGGAGGTCTTGTGCTTGGTGCTGTTGCACCAGTAGCAGCAGCCGTAACGGCCGCGGTACTTGTAGTTGGCCTCGGTCAAGCCAAACTTGACCCATGGTGGTGATGGCTGTCCATTTCCGGCCGGCGATGCTGATTTCGCCTTCCCGTTCACTCGGGGTTTGTTGTTGCTTCGCGGCTGGACAGCAACCACCTGATCTCCCTCACATGACGCTTGGGTGGCTGCCGGGTCTTCCACAGTGTTGTCCGATTGGACTGCAGCGAACTGCTGCTGTCACGGACCGGTTCTCACCTTCTCCTCATAGGTTGGCTGCCATGTTGACTTCTCGTGTGCAGCCGACCTGTTGGTCTTGATGATCTCTCTCGCCTTGTCAATGATCTCGGCGAAAATGGTATACTGCTCGCGGTCACCAAGTGTCTGGCTCAGTGCAGCACATGACCTTTTGTAGAGCTCACGGCGTAGATGCGTGAATGGTAAGTCCAGATCGGGCACTGCCGCGATCTTCTGCCATTCCGTGAGCCAGTCACGTGTTGCTGTGTTGCCCTGAGACCTGGTGAAGAGACGGTTGATGGCAAGTGCTGGTGCGTCGTCGATGATGAACCGCTTCTTCCACAGCCGTGTCAACTCTTCCCATGTGATCTTGTCCTTCAGATCTGCGACGTCGACGCCGTGGGTGGCTGCCAGGTGAGTTAACCAGATCTGACATCCGCCCTTTGAGTTCATGAACAGGGCGCCGATTTACGCGTGCTTGGCGACAAGCAGAATCCACAATTGCGTCATGAAAGCTTCCCACCAGAGCACCGGGTCCTGATGCGTGTAGTCGTCGAACTTCTCCAGTTGAAAGGTTGGCATCTTGTATTGCTTTGGATTGTTGCCATCCGTGTTCGTCGACTGCAGTTGCTGGATCTCTGTCTTCAACGTGTCCAGCTGGCTGCTGATGGTGGTTGGCGCCCCGAAGGTGTTGATGTTGCCCAGCATTGCCACTACGTGGTCAACCCGTTCCTCGAGTTGGTGGCTAGAGGGTGCACTGTTGGAAGCCCCAGCATCTGGTCCTGGTACAGCTTGTTCCAGGTCCAGTACACGAAAATAGAGTGTCCGTGTAGCATCCTCGTGGCTCTGCACCATCCGGCGGAGGTTCGCCAACTCCTGGTGCCGTGTCTTCAGATCCTGGTACTGTTGTTGCAGTTCCTGGTTCTGTCTCTCTAACTCGGACCATTGGTAGTTGCAAGCATACAACAACCGTGTCACGAGTTTTGAGAGGAACTCCTTATGCTGCTCTTCCGGTGTTCCGTCGTCGCTGTTCGGTTCAAAGTGTCAGAACTTGAGTCTCTCGATGTTGTTGGCTTCATGCCGCTGCAGCAGATCTTGGGCTTCCTTGCGGCGAGTCTGGGCATCTGCGTCTGCTTCGGTTTGTAGCCGCAACTTCTCTGTTGTTGCCACAGCTTCAGCCTGTACGCGGGTAGCCTCGGTTGCCAGCTGGCGTTGTTCCTCAGCCTCGATGAACGCGAGTTGAGCCTGGAAGCGTTGTCTGTAGTCGGCAATTGACTCAATATCACAAAATACTAAATTGTTAAAATCATTAGATAAGTTAAAAAATAAACATATACGCATAAAACAATTAGCTCCTCAAAAATATCTTTTACACACTCACATAATAAAAACAAACATAGTACCAAATACAAAATTATCAAATAGAATACTATCAAATGATATTTCAAATATATCTAATACAAATCAAATTTCAAATCAACCAATTAAAGATATACGTTTAAAAGTTCTTGCATGAAGACAATTAAATATATCATCATCAAATAATATTACTGATATATCTATAACAAATAAAAATATAAATAAACCAATCGAACACATACGTTTAAAAACACTCGCACGTTCACGCAACGATCATACAAAAAACATTAATTCTCTAACATTCATTTTACCAATTTCTCAATTAAAAAAAAACGAACTTGCAAAACATGTATCGCAGCAATTGAACCCTGCACAACTAGTAGAAGTGACATGTTGTGTTTATGACGAATTAGTATTACAAATTGACATTCATAAATAATCACCGTGTAATTCCAATATTCTAAAGTATATGCATAAATATTTACATAGTTATAAATATTCATTACATCCTGATCTTATAAAGCATTATGATTGTTGCGGTCTATGTCCTTTATTAAAAAATATTATGCTATCTAAAAATGGTATCAATATTGAAACAAATCAAAATATAACAATGAACATGTGCAAAGAATGTAACAATGCATTATTTAACCCGCGTCGACAAATTCATTTACCAAAGTTTGCAATCCAATGTATATTCCAGATAATATAATTGAAGATTTTTCATTTGATTCCACTTATGTTAATGAATTAGATAATGAACAAGATGGTTTAAATGCATCTCAAGAAACTTGCAATGAAAACACATACATCGAAAAATCAATTGTTTTTTCACATGAAATTGCACCAATAGACAATGAAATTGAAAATTCAATAGTTGAACAAATATAAAAAACAAATGATCGTGAACCTATTTTTTCAATTCATACATCATCAAAATTCGCAAATATGTTTGACCCCCATTAGAAACAAAAATGTTTCCACATTCATTCCCATACGGTCGAGGACATTCAGAAGAATCTAAAAGACGAAATCAAGTTTCACAACATCTATGTGCACAACACTATTGTTTATTAAGTAATTGACAATTTGCACAAGATCCATATTATACACTAATAAATTTCGATCGTTTTTCTCTCGACCGCGGATATAAACTTGCAAATATAACTTGTAAAAAACAAGCACAACTACATCAATCAATTGCTGAAATTACAACTAATATGTTAAAAATTGGTCTAGAAAATGCTCGACGACGTCGTTGTGGTCATTCTGTATTCAATGACAATACAGTTGTAAGACAATTGCTTCAACATGTCGAATGTGCTTCTGCACATGTTTAGGGAAGCAACGCTGAACGACCTACACGACGACAAGAAACATTCTCAACCTGCGATCGGTTCGGTCAACCGAGTCTCTTTATTACATTAACACCAAATACAGATACAACATATACATTTACATCATATGTTGGTCTTCTTGATATTAATGAATTTTGCAGTATTTTTGTAACAAATTCAACACTTTGCTTTCGTTTTACTTGCTCAAGCATTATTAAATATTTGGTTATCACAAACATCAGATGAAAATACAGAATTATCAACCCCATTATAAAACCTAACAGAAACTATAAAAGATCAACAACTTCTCATGTTCCTTACAGGTGAAGGTGACACTGGTAAATCTCACATCATTTCTGCTATTCAAATGTTCGCTGATAAATGGCAACATCCAAAAAGCATCGCAAAAACTGCAATGACAAGGAAAACAGCAATAGGAATCTCAGGTGCGACATTTCATAGATGGATAGGAATGCATTACCTTAAAAAATATCGTTACTTCGATCGTAAAAGCACAATTAAAAGGCATACCTAGATCCACAACTTAATTAGCTATACATATTATTGACGAATTTAGTATGATGAGCAAAAACGATTTCGTTCGTTTAGATACTGCATTGCGTGACGCACGAAAACTTGATATTCCTTTCGGAGGAATTCATATACCTGCATCTGATGATATCTTTCAAATACCACCTTTAAAAGGCATACTAATTTTTCATAAACCATGTCTAAACCTTGCACATGCATCTTCTGATCATGAAGCATTCAAATTATGAATATTATTTTCTACCATCATAATACTAACCAATACAATACGATTTAAAACAGATCCTGAATAGGGAATACATTGCAAAAATGTTAGATTTGAAATTTGGACTGACGAATTTATCAACATAATTAACAGTAGATTAATTAACAAAACAGAACAAAATTCGCTAATACAATCGATAAACCTTCAAGAAAATTGTCATCCTATATTTGTTGCACCTGACAACGATACTCGTATCAACCTTATACATATTTATACACGCACATTATGTGAACAATTACAAATGATCATTATCCTGTTCATATTATCGCCGATTTTAAAAATGCATTACAAAAAAGAAATAATCATGA